ACGGTCACGCTTGCCCTCACCGGGCAGTGATCCCATGTCTTACGGGATGCTGATTTTCGCTCTACTTCGCTATAAAATCATTTAATACGAGCAAATGACGACAAGTTCTTGGCCCACTACCTAATATTTAATACAAATATCACAAAATTTGGTTTAGGAAGCTAAATATTTTCTAAATTTACAAAAACCCTTATTGAAGTCATAGGCTTCTGCAGCCGAACACAATGCAAGTGTTCTTGATTGTCCTGATGAGACCGCGTCTAAGTCGTGACAGTTTGTTGGCATCACAGCCTTCGATGCGACGTCACCCAAGACCATTTGAAAACTCTTATTTTAAATACATAGATATGCAAGTATTGACAATTTTTCTTATTAATAAAAATATTGAATTAATTTAGTTAAATACTTTTTCAAGACAACAATATTTTAAATGATTTATTTAATTTTAATGCTTTCATTGAGGTAATGTTTAATAGGGAATATTCTTAATATTAACGTAATTAAATTAATATAAAAAATAGTAATAATATTATTAACCACTTATTCCTATTTTTCTTACTAATATTTTAACACATTTTAAATGTTGTAATCAACATTATTCAAATAATATTTTATAATGTATTTAAAAATCCTAGTATCCCAGCCGTGGATGATTGTGAACTCATAGATTAATAGATCTAATTGCTTAAAGCCTACCCTCTAGAAAATTACTTAACTACCTCTGCATTTCTGAAATTTCGACTTCTGCTGGCGCCAAAAGTTTTAGTCGTGTCACGCACTCGCCTAGTAGCAATTTTATCTTTTTGTTTTCTATCTGAAACTTTTCATTACAAGTATCACTAAATCGTGTTCTGTGTTTACAGGATGAAGGGGAAAAAGTTCCTCTCATTTAGTTTCTTTCTTTTGATCACTCACATTGTTTACAGTGGACTGAGAGGACCATTTCACTGGAGTATAAAGAAACCTCGTTTGATCACACCGACTTCCTTCTCTCAATGAAATCGTCGAGAACAAAAATTAATAAAGGCACACCAATAACATAATACAGTTTGTTGAATCACTATCACGTACCACAATCACGTTTTCATTCAGACGTCTTCTAAAATGTTCAAAGTATCATCGAATTATATTCATAAAACGAGTTATAAAATCACATCTATGGTTACCTGTAGAAAGAACATCCCCTTACAATCATTAGGTTATCCATGACAACGAAATGTAGGAACAGTCGATATCGAATTGGAATGACAGTCGATAACAGACAGCTAACGATACGTGTTGTAACCAAGTTCTCCACAGGAAGTTCGGCGCGCTGTTCGTCATACATCTGAAGAGGTAATAGCGTACTGAAGTGAGCATCAAGCCAAGTGCCGTTAGAAGGGTAGCAAAGTGCCCGTGGTTGTTCCTCCATACTTTTTGACATTTATAAAATTTTGTGTGGTGTCTAGTTTGAGGTCTTATGAATACTATGTTCAATTTTTATTTTCAAGTGTACATAGTACAGTTAAATATTGTTAGTGAGCGAATTTCAATTTCGGAAGTACGTTTCGAAATTTCGATTTCGAAAGTATGTTACAAACTCAAGAGGTTCAAAAAGAAATTCGTGTGATTGTTTTGAAATAAATTATCATGGTACTTCTGTCATATTACTTTGTTTTTATTAATTTTTTAAATTATGGGTGGCTAAATTTCACGTTTCCATCCTTAGGCTGAATTATGTTCTTTTTTTGCTGACTAACGTATTGCCTTCTGAATAAAAAAATAGTTGACTGTAGTAGAATGTTCATTATTTAAAAAATATCGATTTTCTAAGTAAGCAGATAGTGCAGGTAATGCTTTTTATATGAGCGTTCATAGAAGAATGTATACGCGAACAATGCGTACTTACGATTACTGATAATTACTTTTTACTTTTCCAAGAAACTTGTGAGCAAACCGTCTGGACACTAAACAACTTCCCTTGTTTTACTTTTTTATTTCAATGACTATGCTATTGGGAGTGCTGCTGTTTACACTCGGTTTCATTTTCAAAATCTTTGCAAATCATGCATGCTTGAATTTACGAGTGGTAGGCAGTATTGGCATACACCTCAATTGAATCGTTTATTTCAAACGCCAAAATCTAAAATACGCATTAGCGAAGGATTATTGTTCCAAGAGCATAGGCATTTCGTATATTGCACATTTATATGAAAAATATTCATTTCTCAACTGCTTTAATAAATAAAAATATTTTGAAATCAGAAAAATTGGGAAACTTTTGTCAGTATTCTCGAAATGAGAAATTTGGCGTTTGACGTGTTTCTGAAATTAGCGATTCAATTGAGGAAGGAAAGAAAAAAACATAAAAACTCTGTGTGAAGAGGGGAGCTATTAAAAAATAATAGTTTTAGGCAATATTCGGAAATTATCAGTTGTTGAGGAGTGCGCATTCATATCATTAGCACTGAAACAACTTTTATTTGTTCTTTTCATAGACCTTTTCTCTTGTATTTAGACACGCATGAGTTGCTAAAATCTAGAAGGCGGTGACCTGACGTCGACAAGTTTCTCATTCTGCCATTACTAAACATAAAGTGAACAAATCAACCATTACACGGTCACTTGTCGATCGTCTTTTGTCCACAGAACGACGCTGGGTGTCGTCTCTAGTTTATGATCAAACCACCAAGAAAATCCATGGAGGAGATTTTCAAGTCCCCCCGCGATTACCCCAACAAGCCACGCCGCCTCCGCGATCTTAGCTCCGTCTACCCCGTGGACGAAAGCGCTTTGCTATCGGAAGCATTGGGCAAATTTCGGAAGGAGAATTTACGAGGTGGCGGCGACTCCCAGTCACAGACTTCCGCCCACTCTTCGACCTTGAGCGAGACCCAACCCCAGACTCCGCCGGAGACGAGCGAGCCCTCGTCTGAGACACGGCCCCCCGTTGTGTCGTCTGCGACTTCGGGGGAGCCGCCTGGACAGGAGTCTACTCCCCATCTTCAGACCTCTCACCCGCCGTCACAGACCCTGAACCTTAGGTGGGGCATTAGTGTGTTTGAGCACGTTTGGAACGGCTTCACCGTAGGCACTGTGCTTCACGTGACATTCTTCGTTAGGATTTCTTTATACTAATGTTAAATAGTGGTTTATACAGCTAGTTTAAAATGTTAAGCTTTATTTTATGACTACATGTTTTGAAAGCGAGGTTTTGGGTACATGTTTTGTTAGAAGCTAGTTTTCAAATTTTTGCGAATGCGATAAGCAACATTTAAACGAGTTACATACGTTTTTTTGTATAACAGTTTACAAATTTATAAGAGTTTCAATGTTAATTTTCGGAAATAACTACATTGTGACGTCACGGGTATTTGGCATCAGTGCGAAAAAAAACATGTTCCGTTTACCTCTACCTCCCCACGACTCTCTCGCTGCAATTCGTTAAATATATGATGACACAATTATTCGTGCTATAATTGTCAATTGCATCACCTCTGTTGTAAGATTCCTTTCTATAAACGATTTCTTGTAACGAAAAAGGTAGTTTATAATAAGAATCATAGAGCTTGTCCTAGCTTGGGCAGTGCCCCGCTAGTGGGAGTCACCCGGCTGAGGAAACCGGCAAGTCGACATGTAGTCCGGCACTGCGTCTCGCCATCCAGCAGGCCAAAAACACTACCACCTATCGCGATAAAACAAGTACTACACTTAATGGGACTAAACACCATAGCAGTTGACGCTCCCGGAAACACGAAATAATCAATGAATCGGAGAGTTTTGCGCAGTCAGGACTACGCATGTTTCCCAAAGACGCGATTTACACCCTTACGAGTACTTGTGACGAACTGTTTTGGCAGTTTTGGCGCACGCGCGCTTGCGCACAGCGTCTCTGTCGCCGCAGAAACAGCTCAGCGCATGCGCGCGTTCTCCGAAACTGCCAAAATAGTTCGTCAAAAGAAAGCGTGTAAATTGAGGTTCGGAAAATATTTCTTCCTCTGGCCGAGTGCATCGAAAGTTCTATCATCACGTTATTTTTCTTCGCTGGCGGAAATACGCAAACGAATTCAAAATAAGATAATGTTTTGTCATATACTGGTATTGGCCCACAGCTGACTTATTTCTTCCTCTTCTGCTTATCTTCTTCATTTTCTTCTACTTTTCTACGTCTACTTTTTCTGCTTCTCCTTTCTCTACTTTTTTTTCTACTTTTATGTTTCTACTTTTACGTTTCTACTTTTACGATTCTACTTTTACTTTTACTTTAACTTTTCTACTTCTACTTTTACTTTTCTTCTTCTACTACTTCATTACATTTTTTTAACCAGCAGCGAAAGCGATCTCGATCCCCCAACCCCGCCACCTCCGCTGCTGCCGCCGCCGCTGCTCCCGCCGCCGCCCGCTCTCCCGCCCCCGCCTGTGCCGTCGTCTGCGGGGGCGTCAGCGTCGTCGGCGTCGTCGGCGGCGGGGGCGAGCGGTGACTCGGGCGCGGAGGAGGGGAGTGGCGGGCGGCGCGATCGCGCCCTCAGGCGCCGCCGCACTTACGCCCCTCGAGGGACCCACGACCGCCGCCCGCCGGTCCGAGATGCAAGCACACAAAGCGTTTAGAATAGTCACTTATGATAGGTGTGGCAAACATGGCACTTTAGTTTGAGAGTAGAAAGAAATTGTTGCGACTCGTGACCGACGGACCGGGTGGCGCATTTCTGCGTGCGAAATAAATTACTTTTCCACGTGTGTCATACACTACTCTTCAGAAAACCTTTTTAAATTTTTTATTTATTTATTTATTTATTTATTTATTTATTTATTTAACGTCAAAAACTATTAAGAACTTTGTGTGGCGTACTATGAGGAGAAGTATATACTGTATCTTTTAATTCAAGTATTCAAATCACTCAATTGGGAGGTGTTAAGAGTAACAATATTTACTAGCGATTTGACCGCGAGAAATCTCTCCAAACGTTGCATGTGGGGTAACTTAGTAGTTGAAAAAAGTTCGAAAACTGGTCCGTGTAGACGCGTCGTTTGGTTCTTCACAGACCGCTGCGCGCCGCTCCTCGCAGCTGCAGCTGTCCAGCGGCGACAGCGACGCCAACGCCGACGCCAAGGCCGACATCCCAGCACCGACACGCGCGCTCTCCACCGAACGCGACATGACGACGAGTATCATGTGACGAGGTATTCACAACTCATATCCCGGCGAATGAACTCACTCGGACCATTATATAATATATATATTATATATATATATATATATATACCTACAGGTGTCCAGGGAGAAAACGTCGAATATTCCAAAATAAGCTCTTAACACAATTTTAAGCATATTTTGTTACTTTAGTATTCCGAATTTGGTGCGCCGTCATAAGCACTCAAAAGTTGGTTTGAAAAAATGTTTTCTGGGCAAAAATTTGCATTGCAGAGGTGTATAAATACTACAGAAGCACATTAATTGTTTATTTGTTATTGTGTAAATTATTTACACAAAAAATGAATACGTTTGTTTACAAAGAATTATTAAAACAGAAATAAAAATGCAACAGAATTGTGCAAATTGGGTCTTTCCGAAGCATTTGGCAGCACTGAACTCACTTTGTTTTCTTTGGCGCGGTGTACACAAAATATGTTCTAAATGTTCTCCTTCTTCGTTGCACAACTCAGCGCGTTGTAATACGGAAGTCGTTATTAATACTTCCCCGGTTACTCCCGATATATTCAAGAACGTTACAAATTCGCGTTAGAAGAGCAGCTCTGTTGTCAAGCTTTTGCGTGTATACTAGACGCTTTAAGTGACCACAAAGATAAAAATCAAGTGGAGTAAGGTCGGGAGATCTTGCTGGCCAGTTTTGAGGTCCTGCGCGACCTATACATCTTCGGGATACTTTATATGGAGATAGTTTTGTACATTTCTTTTAAAATGGCGGCGCTCCATTGCGGTGAAAATACATCGAGAAACACAGCGAGAGAGGCACATCATCTAGATGGGGAGGTCATTCATGTTCTAAGATCATCAAATACGTGTCTCCGCTGTCAACGTCCTGTCAAAGAAGTGAGGACCTATAATTTGATATCCGATAATTCCGCACCACATATTTACTAATACTAACTTCGGTCGCGGAAGCCTACGTTCTCGAAAGAAACGCTATTTGCACTGCCTTCATCGACCAAACTCTCTTGCCTGAGGTGAGCTCCATGCCTTTGTATTTCCTCTTTCTTCATATTCATTTCGCACATTGAGATGTCAACAAATACACTGTGGGCGGAGGGTCTGGCCCTTCTTGTCGTACCCTTATTCCGTGAACTGATAATCACGAACACTGTCTAATTAAATTTTAATGCACACGAATTTAATGTTAGCATTTTCTAATCTAGTCTAAAAACATCGATGGTTTTTAGTCAATCTATTTTTAACATTGATATTTTAATTTTGAACAACTATATATGCTAACATTGATGTTTTGTTATCGATGTTGCATCATAAACCCATATCATAGATCACTAATCACAAATTCCCTTCATTTTTTAAATTCATTAGCAACTTGTTTTTTACGCAATGTATTGTTATTATTACTTAACGCAAATTGATATTTCATGTAACTTTACTTGTAAATAATTTTTTTAGGACGGTGAAGTGACGTATTAAAATAGCGGGAACCGTGAATTCTCATCTTTTGTACAACTCTTAGATAATACGAATTGATCCCGCTCTTTCGTAGATCGCAGATCTCTATTTGTATTTATAATACAGGTAGTAGTTTCCGAAAGCCAGCTTCATGTTGCTCTGCTTAAGTTCTCCTCTATCCAGCGTTCATCGCGTCAAAAGCTGAAGGTTTAATGTTTCGGCCATATTTTTTTTAGACATGCAATGCTTGAGATGCACAAATACGTACAAGAAACTAATTTTGGAGGCTTTCAAGACCCTCGAAACCTTCAGTAGTTTGTCCATAAGGAGAATTTCCTCTCTTGTTGCTGTTGGCTGACTGTAATGTTATTACTTCGAAAGCTAGCATGTCGTTGTTTCAGGACTTTCTTGAAGATTGTATTGCGCCAATACATGTGACCATAAAGATACCGAAATGATGGCCGAAAAGTTGACTCACGAACGTGACGATGATGCGCATGTAATTCTTATCGAGGATTACACGATTCACGAAGTTGCAATAATATATGTAGTTCCCAACCACGACAGCAGTGTGTGTTGCTAACGCTAAATTCTTGGATGTCACTCCATTGATTCAAACACAATTACATTAGAACCAATACGAATACATAGAGCGTCGTTTCATGGGAATTTAGCGATAGCAGCTCCCTCTGCCGTAACACATCGGAAATGCTTCCGTGATTCTTACAACGATAACGTCCAAAACGCTTGAAACGACCCGGTCGAGATAACTTACAGCAACAATAGTTACCCAGCATATCCATCCCGGAGATAACAGGGTTCGAGTCCCGACGGTGGAGAATTTTCGCCACTACCTTCATAGCTGTGTTGAATTCAGCCGCTGTTTGGAGGAGAATTCTAGCGGCTGGCCACTTTGGTCGGTAGTTTTCCGTGGTTTCTCCGATCAATACCAAGCGAATGCCGGGGCAGTACCCTAACGAACGGGCCAGGGACCGCGCGATCTTTCCTTTCTCTTCCTTGTCCTGACACCTCTCCTTATGTACACAGTCACATATGTTCTACCATATGTGTCGGGGTGTTTAGAACTTGTGCCGGCGGGGGGGGGGAGGGCACTGCTGATGGAAATATCTGGAGGAGGAAATGTCCGCAAGTCGACATGTACGTCGGCACCGGACCTCAAGCTCTAGCAGGAGAGGAACCACTCCCATGGTATAACATGCTAGCGGTCCATTGATCATAGAAGTTGACGCACCCGGGAAATAAATTCCAATAATTCACCTCCAAACCACTCGCATACTCTGTTGTATCGTGCACGATAAGGCACGTGCATTCGTTAAATCTGATGGCTAGCATTTACCGGTCTAAGTCTTTACGTAACTTGGAGTTCGCGCATGCGCAGAAGCTCAAAAGGGGGTTATCTCGTATGCGATATGGTGACAGACACGCTGTCAAAACTTCCTAGTGAGAGTTTATTGTTTTTTTGTTTTTTGTTGTTGTTTTTTCGTTTACGGGCACTGCAACTTCTATAGTCATTTGTCGCATGGGGTGCATAAGTGCGGGAAGGGTGTGGCAGTATTTCTCCTCTGCTGGTATGTGAGATCCGGTGCCAACCTTCTCACCGAATTAGGGGTTTTCCTCATCCAGGTACCTCCCATCAGCGGGGCACCGCTTCAGCTGGAAGCTCCCAGCTAAACTCCCGACTTACGTCGAAGAGTAGTGCATGTACGTATGTGTGTGTAAGGGGATTGGATAGGACAGGAAAGAGGAAAGAAAGATCGCGCGCGATCCGTTGCCCATTTGTTGGGGTACTACTCCGGCATTCGCCTCGAGATAATCGGATCAACCGCCACTGTGAGGTCTTTTCGGCTGTTGCCGCCGGCCGAGGGTGCGCCCACTCACGCGAAAACTTGTTGACCGACTGGAGGCGCCCGCGGGCAGGGCGAGGCTGCAGGCGGCGGCGGCAGGCGCCGAGGGCGCTCGCGGTCCCCGCTGGGGCCCCGGCGCCGCCTCCCTCGCAGCCCCCCTCGCAGTGCCCCGGCCGCCCCCGCGAGCGACGACCCCTGACGCCCGGCTGCGGGCGCACGCGCCGCAGCACCGCAAGACCTGCGACCCCGTCTGAACTTCCTCTAATGACTGCTTATTTCCCTTAATTAGCATATTGTTACATAAATAACTCTTTTTTTACAATTTTCTGAAGTATTTTGAGAATATTTGTTTTCGAACCCTTCTTGTATTTATTCCATATATGTTGTACAGTTGCTATCAATATCGTAATAAATTGATTATCTAGTTATTTATTCTATTACTTTACCAGCTGACAGGAAATAATGCCCAGAATTCAAAAATCGTCATGAGAATAGAGTTCACATTGTTGAGTTATGTCAACAATTCTACCTTTTTCTTGTTTTGTTTCTTCTTCTCCTCTTTCTATTTCTTCTCTTTCCTCTCCTTTTTCTTCTCATCTTCCTCCTCCCATTTCTTTTTCAAATTCTTCTTTTCTTTTTTTCTTGAATTTCTTCTTCTTTTCCTTCTTTTTTATTTACTTATTTATTTATTTAAAACAGTTAAAAACTGTATGTGACGTGCTATGGGGAAAAGTTAATTTGAAGTTACATTTATGTCAAGAAGCAAAACAAGATGCCATCTGAGCATTTGCTCGGGGATCAAGGAAAATTCTTTTTCTTCTTCTTTTTCATTTTCTTCTTCTTCTTTCTTCTTCTTTCTTATTCTTCTTCTTCTTCTACTCCCTCTTCTTTTATTTCTTATTGTTCTCATTATTTCGTATGCTCTTCTTCATGTCCTATTTCTTATTCTTCTAACTTTCCCTTCCTTCTCTGTATCCTCCCGTTTCTTCTTTTTTCTTCGGTGTCCCAGCTAATATTGTCACATTGCAGGGGTCATTGCAACGCGAGCATGTAACGTATCGACATCAAGTAGGCTCCCTAATAAAACAAATGACAGACGACAACGGTTCACGATAGTCAGCTGCATTTTCTAACCGATCTGTTATTGAGGCCGACATCAGTAACGTAGTGTGCTCACGGCGGTTTCACGAGTTTCGATGCGCTGTTTCAAACCCAGTCTAGAAGGGCAGACGTTTCAGGCGCAATGGCATGTCGCGATTGGACAAGAAAGGTTAAAGAATGAAGAAAATATAACGAATTTGTGTGTATCATAAACATTGTGATTCTAGATGCCAGTTTACCGACATTTTTAGCGACAATGGTTTTAAAAATGTGTTAATTGATTTGAAACGCGAATGTCAATTGTGACATTTCTTCGACAGTTAGCTAAAAAGTCACGAAACTCTTTCATGTTCATTGACTTAAAATTTCGTCACGGACTGATTTTGCACATTTCTTCGTTGTAATGTCTTTGTCAATTAAATAACATTAAAATTGCAGGAAAATGAGCTGGAGAAAACTGAACTTTCCTTTACCTAAAAATTCTCCTGAAATCTTACTCCACAAACGAGGAACACAACAGTTGAAGCTGGACTCCCGTCGCGTCGGGGTAAGGCCTCCGAAAGAGTCGCGAAAAAGTCCGCG